AACTCAAGTCCTCTGGAAGAACAACCAGTACCCTTAACCACTGAGCCATCTCTCCAGCCTCCTGTCTTAAATTTTTTAAAGCTTTGTTTCACTTTATGTATATGAGTATTTTGCTTATATGTATGCGTGTGCACCACATGCATGCACAATTGGTGTCATGGAGGTTAAAAGAAGGCATTGTATCCCCTGGAACTGGAGTCACAGATGGTTGCTGGCCACCATGCAGTACTAGGAACTGAACCTGGGTCCCCTGCAAAAGCAGCAAGTGTTACAAGTGTTCTTAGCCACTGAGCCGTTTTCCCAGATCCTTCTGCCCTTTTTGAAAGACTGAAATATGCTTCAGGTACTCTGAGTGACCCATACACACACTAAAATATTAGTTGTCTGGCGCTTTGCTGAAAGTTTCCCAATTCCTGAAGTAGACAGACGTGAAGAAACTGCCAGAAGGCAGTGCAAAGGGCAAGGTGAAGTTATGAAAGAGATAAGAAGGGAGGAGGCCGGCATAGGCTCTGGCAGGTATCAGACGGAAGCTCAAGGGGGAGAGAGAGAGGGGCGAACTGTATTCCAAGACCATGGATTATAAGTTTCCAGGTTAGTGAGTGGCAGGAGCTCCAAGATTTAGAAAGTTCAGAGTCTTCAGCAACGTGAAACCAACTCCTCCCCAAATAAAACTCCAAGTGAACAGCAGAGCATGGGGCTGGGGAGACGGCTCAGCTGGTGAAGTGCTTGACACACAAGCAGGAGAGCCTAGGTTCGATCCCAGCACTCCTATAAAAGCCAGGTGCAGTGGCATGCTGGCATGCTGGTATGCATCTGTGCTGGGGAGGGAGGCTCAAGCATCCTTGAGAACTTGCTGGTTGGCCAGTCTAGCTTAATAGACCTAAACTCCAGGTTTGGCAAGAAATCTTCTCTTAAAAAGGGAGATCAGAATTGGGTGGTGGTGGCACAAGCCTTATATCTCAGCACTTGGGAGGCAGAGGCAGGCGGATCTCTTGTGAGTTTGAGGCCAGCCTGGTCTTACAGAGCAAATTCTAGGACAGCCAGGACTGTTATACAGAGAAAGCCTGTCTTGAAAAACTAATAAATAAATAAACAAACAAAAAAAAAGGTAAAATCAGCTTGAAAAAGATGCCCAAGGTCAAATTCTGGCCTCTGAATGTGCCTGTGCACTAAACCCCACACCCCATGCAGAAAAACACATACAGGAGCCAAACCCATCCAGTGGGGCCAAACTGCCCATGAGGCACACGTACAGGTGGACTGACATCTCACTTTGTAACAACGATGATAAATCCAGAGGGGTCTCCAGAGTATGGTGGAAAAGGAAAATTGTGTATGAGGAAGAAAGCAACAGCCAGAAGGGAGGAATGAAGCTCGGAAGAGGAAAGAACAATTTGTGCAGAGAAAGGATGTGAATGAACATGGTGAGCTCTGTTGACGGCCGGGAGGCCGAAACGGAAGTGGAGCATCATGTGCCTGCTACGGGTTAGCACAAGCATGCCTGAAGGAAGGAAGCTGTCAGAAGCACTGCTAGACCTTGGTTAGGGCAAGATTGTGCTTTACATGTTAAGGGTAACCACTGAAGAGCACAGACTGCAGTTTTCCTAGTGTGAGAGGGGACTGTACCAGATTCTGTTGATTAAAACATCTGCAGACATTCAGGATTCTTATATAAAGTGGGATAGTGTTTGCTTGTATTGCCACGTCCTACCACATCAGTGGTTCTCAACCTTCCTGATACTGCAGCCCTTCAATACAGTGCCTCATGTTATAGAGACCCCAACCATAGAGTTACTTTTATTTTCGTTTACTATTTCATAACTAATTTTGCTACTGTTATGAACCATAATATAAATATCTGTGGTTTCTGATGGTCTTGGGCGACCCCTGTGAAGGGGTCGTTTGACCCTCAAACGATCACAGTCCAGAGGTTGAGAACCCCTGTGCTATGTACTTTAAATCATCTCTAGATTACTAGTAATACCTTATTAGTCTGTTTTCTCTTGTCACAAAATACTTGAGGTTGAGTAATGTAGAAGATAAAGAGGTTTATTTAACGTGCAGTTTTTTGTTCATTGGGAATTTCATACATATATCAGTGTATTTGATCTTCCCAGCCCCGCACATCTCTTTCCAGCTTCCTATCCTCTTTTCACAGCCCAGCGACCATTAGTGCTTCTCTTGTGCATGGCTGTAGGGCCACTTAACAGGGTTGTTTTTCTGATTTCTATCCAGCAGGGTTTTCAGTTGCCCAAGCACCTCAGCTAGGGGTGGGACTTCAGGTCCTTGCCTAGTGTCTTCGAGCTTTGAGTGGCTTGATCTCATTCATAGTTTTTTGTTTGTTTTGGTTTTTTGTTTTGTTTTGTTTTTCAAGACAGAGTTTCTCTGTGTCCTGTCTGTTCTCGAACTTGACTTTGATGACTTTGATGGCGTCAAACCCACAGAGATCCACCTCCCTCTGCCTCCCAAGTGCTGGGATTAAAGGTGTGCACCACCCACCACCTTGCTTCTTACTCATAGTTTTTAAGATTGAACATTCAAAAGACATAGTGCTGGCTTTGGCAAATGCCCCATGGCTGTGTTGCCTCTATGGTGGTTGATAGTATGGTAAAAATTAAGACCACAGGTGGTTTAGTTGTTGGGATTATCGTATTAAAATTTTAATTTTATTTTTAGATGAGAGTCTGCATTCATTGTCCATGTTGGTCTTGAACTCCTACCTCAAGTGGTCCTCCTGCCTCTGCCTCTTAAGTAACAGGTACTTGCCATCATTCCAGGTTAATAGTTTAATTCTTACAAATACACTAAATAAGATCGAAAGGTAGGGAGAAAGTGACATGGGTCTGAAATCATTGTATGGATTGCAGTCATCAGTAGACTGGGTGAAGTAGAAGAGTGGATTGGAGAATTGAAGGATGGGCAGGGACATTCGAGCTATAGCATCGTAAGTGAGATTATTAAAAACCCGAATTTGGTTTTTTATACCAAATTGTTGTTTGCCAACAGGATAAGTTGGCAGACTCTGGTTGTTCTGGGCTAGAACCAGGGTGAAGACAGAATAATAATTAAAAAGAAGGGGAAAGTGTAAAAATTACTGTAAAGCATTATTGCAAACATTATCATGATTATGATCGTAATAAAAATGACAGGCTTGGCAGGAGACTAGACATAGGAGCTGAAGATTGAAAATAACTGATGCTTGTAGCCTTTTATGTGACAAACTCAGAAGGGTGATGCCTGCATGCTGTCTCTAATTTTTGTAGTACTTCTGAGCAAAGGTACTGTTGCTTTTCTGATGGAAAAACTGTCTCTCATGGTAAAATGGGTGTCTAACTGTGGGGTTCCATCCAGGGCTGGCTGCTCTGAGGTCTGTGTCTTTCCTGAATATAGCACATTGTTTCTGACTGGAAGAATGTAGAATTACGGGCAGAACTAAAAGCTGTTTGGAAAATGAAGTCCTTGAAGTGACTGTGACCCCAGGAGAGGCAGGGTGCAGAACAGCAAGGCAAGTATTGCGGGTATAGCTTGTAGGGAGATATGAGCATAGGTGATGCTTGACATCATGAAAGCAGATGGGTTCATTAACAGATGATGCCGAGAGCCTTCCAGAATACTTTTCAGTATGAGGTGGGAGGAAGACTGGATGTCCCCAAGACAGAAAAAGAACATGAGTCAAAGATGTGGGTGGGATACTAAAAATGTCCTTCCATAGAATTAAGGGAAGAGACCAAGGAAGTGATCAGTGACACAGTTCATTCATTAACTCTCAGTGGACACAGTGGTGACACAGCAAGGCCTGAGCAGACGAGGGTCCTGCTCTCGGGGAGTAGGGTTTAGTGTGGGAGGGAGGAAAAGGGGAGAAAGAGGGAGGGGAAGGGAAAAGAAAGGGGAGCGAAAGGAGAAAGAAGAAAAAATAGGTTAATTTCAGAAAGTGTCAGACTAATAAGAGAGGCGGCTTTAAAGTGAGAGCATCAAGAAAATGGGCCTGAAGCATGAGAGTCCACGGGAAACGCGGAGATTTCAGAGGACAGCAGGGACGAGGACGTCAGGTGGGACAGAACTTGGTGTGGGTGAACTACAGGGGAGCAGCGCAGCTCAGTTTGAACGAGCAGGGGGGACGGTGGCCGCGAAATTGGTACAGTGAGAAGCCCTGTAGCGTCCTAAAGGAGGGAGAACCCACTAGTTTGCAGTATATGGGGGCAGTGCAGGCAGGGATGGGCCGTGGTGATGAGGAGTAGGAAGATGCACAGTGCACTTGCACTGAGAACCACCGGCAATCAATCACCTAAGTGTGTTGGCTTTTATTTCTAGACGAGAGAGGAACAGAAGAGAGTTCATGGTTTCTCTTCATTTTACGCTTGAAAACTCCTAAGTTGATGGTTAGGAGACAGAATCCACACAATTGGCCACTGATTGCTCTTTTGGCTCATGCTGGTGGATGAGGTAGAACTTAGTGGGTGAAATTCTTTAGAATCAGCGTTGGCTTCCATTTGAACATTTATCTCCATTGTCATTTCTCCTTGTATGTTGGGCACGCTGGGAGTACTGCTGCCCAGATGCATGGAACCCAGGGTTCTCTTGCCTTTGTTTTCTCCGTGCGGGATGACAGGTTTGCCTGCACACCTGGCTCACGGCTGATGCTGGTCCATTTATGTCTCCAGATGCTCCTCACCTGCCTCCTGTTTGTCCCGAGCTCCATTCTAGTGTAAACATCTCACCTACCCAGAGCTCTGTGCATCCTTCAGAAATCCCTTGTATGCTGCCCACATTTTATAACATCCTGCTTTACACTCTCCAGCACGTCAGCATGCCACAACCGCCCGAGAGAAAATTCCCCATTGTCCTAGTGTTTGTCGGTAGTACCTGCTCTCTCCAAAGAGCTCTGCTCAGCCGTGTGCTCTGTGACTGCTGAGTCTGCAAGGGAAGCCTTCTCAGGAAGACTAATCAACAGTGCCTTCCTTAGTGAGCACTTTTCAAATAGTCTCTCTTTTCTCTTTCAGCCAGGAGAGCAAGCTCTGGTGTCAACTACTACAAGAACTCGTATGTTGAAGCATAATGCTACTACATAAGGCAGAGAGAGGAAGAACGCTGCCCAGTAAGGTGAGAAGGTCGCACTGGCCGCACTGCCTGGATTCTGTCTTGTCTTCTCTTTATTTACTCATCCTTACAGCAGAAGCACAAACGTTTGAATAAAAGAATAGTGTGGGTTCTTTAGAAATGTGGGTTGTGAGTTGGGCATAGTTATGCACACCTTTAATTCCACCACTTGGGAGGCAGAGGGAGGTGGATCTCTGTGAGTTTGAGGCTAGCCTGGTTTATAGAGTGAGTTTAAGAATAGCCAGGACTATATAGAGACCCTGTCTTCAAAACAAAACGAAACAAAATAAACAGAGAAATGAAGGTCTTGCTGTGGGTTGTTTGGCCGGATGTTATCTATTTGAGTGTGAAGATTTGTTTTCATATTTATTTTTTGAGGCATATTTATTATTTGAGGCTCACAATATAGCCCCATCTGGCCTAAAATTCACTGTGTAGACCAGGGTAGTTTGGAGCTTAGCTAGATCTGCCTGCCTCTGCCTCATGAATTCTGGTATTAAAGGTGTATGCTACCACACCCGCCCCTAAAGATTTATGTTTGTTTTAAATCATGTGTTTGTGTGTGGATTTGTGCACATAAGTATGGGTGTTTTTGGGGGCCAGAGGCTTTGCAGCCCCTGGCGCTGGAGTTGCAGGTGGTTGTGAGCCACCCCATGTGAGTGCTAGAAACCAGGCTTGGATCCTAGTAAGAGCTGTAAGTAATCTTAACTGCTGAGCGATTGTTTCGACCCCTGTTTATCAAGCTTAAATTATCCAAATTTAGTATTTTAAGGGTGGATTTTTGTTTTACTTTTTGTCATCCTGACCACTTATTCTCAGTAGAATTGTCATCAGCTTTTTGTTTTTACCTGTTCGTAGACAAAAACTTACGAGACTTTAAGGGCTGCACATCTGGAGCAGAGGTGGAAGCTGGGAGTGTGAGCCCCCGTGAGACGCATAGACGTGCTCTTGCAGTTGGTGTGTGTCTTCCCATCTCCCTCCCCTCCACTGGGGATCGAATCCACAGATCTGACAAGACAGACAAGTGCTTTTCAGCTGAGGGCAAGGGTTTTTACACTTGCTAGGCAGTTCTTGACGTATGTTAGGTATGTCAAGAGTAGCCACAGACACTTTTGTTTTCTTTTTTTGAGGCACAGTCTTACTACATAGCACAGGCTGGCCTTGAACTCAAGACTCTCCTGCCTCAGCCTCCGGAGCGCTACCTAGAATGGCTGTGCCACCCTCCCTGGCTGTGAGTGTGTTTTTGTGTGTGTGAAGAAGTGAACGAATGAAATGGTGTATGTTTTGGCGTAGAGCAGCTCGGCTTGACTTCTAGATATGTCAGTTTGAAGGGAATGTAGGTAGGAAGCCTCTCTGTTGGTCGGGGAGAGTTTGCAGAGGGCACTAAGGATGCTGTGTAGAATGCTTGAGTCTCATGCTCATGCCCTCTGCTTATCTCATAGCATGGTAATTCCTCATCATCTGCATGCACTTATCTCCATTTCCAAGTTTAGGTCCCTGAGTGCGAGGGCCGACAGCAGGTCCTTCCCTAAAGGACTCATTTCTAAGTACACTGCTCTCTCTGAAAGACCGAGTTACTGCTTCTATTTTAAGGAGTGCCTGATGTCTGCTAATGGATGATAAATAGAGGCAAACTGGAGGATACCTTTCATCTATTCCTGGGTGAAGTTCAAAAGAGCTCTCTTAACTCTTTTCAACTCTAAATTTAACAAACCGAGCTTCTCAAGAGTTGTTTTTGCTGAGCAGCTCACAGGGAGACTTTCATGTTAGGAGAGGACCAGCACCAGATGGATGCTGCTTCCCTCATCTCACGGGGTGCCCAGGTCTCGGGTAGGAACCACTGAGCAGGGCTGGTGTGTAAGCAGGTGATGGAGCTTTGAACATAATCTTTTCAAGACTGACAAGATTCTTCTTCTTTTGCAGGCCTGATTGTCGGTAGTGACATGGAGGACGGGGCTGGCATCTCAGGCTGCCAGCTGTTTTCACCAGCCACTGTTTAACTTGAATAGAAGCGATGCATACGGGCTGGTCAACAAGGCCAAGGAACAAAAGCTATGGCAGTTAAAACGGTCCCTCCGAGCCCAGGGCCTTTTCCCTGGATTTTAACACCATGGATTTCTTCCTTTTCATCCCATCAGCAATGTGGTACCCTCTTCTATTTGAGGACAACAGCCAATACTTAGGATCTGCCTGACTAGGGTTAGAGACCTTCCAAGTCACGGCTGAGGAAAATGAAATTTCCATTTTATTTGGTGCCTTGCGCGGGGCTCACACGGACTCTTCCAGAAACTTGTGTGTGAAGAAGAGGTTGAGTTTTGTCAAACACACTTATGGTTATGGCGAGTGATCCGACGTGATCAGAGTGGGCAAGAGCCACAGAGAACTCATGACAGGCTATACCATGTTGCGGAATGGGGGAGTGGGGAACGGTGGTCAGACCTGTATGCTGCGCTGGTCCAACCGCATCCGGCTGACGTGGCTGAGTTTCACACTCTTCATCATCCTGGTCTTCTTCCCCCTCATCGCTCACTATTACCTCACCACTCTGGATGAGGCAGATGAAGCCGGCAAACGCATCTTCGGCCCTCGGGCCGGCAACGAGCTCTGTGAGGTAAAGCATGTTCTCGATCTCTGTCGGATTCGCGAGTCTGTGAGTGAAGAGCTTCTGCAGCTCGAAGCCAAGCGGCAGGAGCTCAACAGTGAAATCGCCAAGCTCAACCTCAAGATTGAAGCCTGTAAGAAGAGCATAGAGAACGCCAAGCAGGACCTGCTGCAGCTCAAGAACGTCATTAGCCAGACAGAACACTCCTACAAGGAGCTGATGGCCCAGAACCAGCCCAAACTGTCTCTGCCCATCCGACTGCTCCCCGAGAAGGATGATGCTGGCCTGCCGCCCCCCAGGGTCACGCGGGGTTGCCGGCTGCACAACTGCTTTGATTACTCTCGCTGTCCTCTGACCTCTGGCTTTCCCGTCTATGTCTACGACAGTGACCAGTTTGCCTTTGGGAGCTACCTGGACCCTTTGGTCAAGCAGGCTTTTCAGGCTACAGCAAGAGCTAATGTTTATGTTACAGAAAACGCAGCCATTGCTTGCCTGTATGTGGTGTTAGTGGGAGAAATGCAGGAGCCGGCTGTGCTGCGGCCCGCCGACCTTGAGAAGCAGTTGTATTCTCTGCCACACTGGAGGACAGATGGGCACAACCATGTCATCATCAACCTGTCCCGGAAGTCGGACACACAGAATCTACTGTACAATGTCAGTACAGGCCGGGCCATGGTGGCCCAGTCCACATTCTATGCCGCCCAGTACAGGCCTGGCTTCGATTTGGTAGTGTCACCACTTGTCCATGCCATGTCTGAACCCAACTTCATGGAGATCCCACCGCAGGTGCCAGTTAAGCGGAAATATCTCTTTACTTTCCAGGGTGAGAAGATTGAGTCCCTGAGATCTAGCCTTCAGGAGGCCCGTTCCTTTGAGGAAGAAATGGAGGGTGACCCTCCAGCTGACTATGATGACCGGATCATTGCCACCCTGAAGGCCGTACAGGACAGCAAGTTAGATCAGGTGCTGGTAGAGTTTACCTGCAAAAACCAGCCGAGGCCCAGTCTGCCTACCGAGTGGGCGCTCTGTGGGGAGCGAGAAGACCGTCTAGAGTTACTGAAGCTCTCCACCTTTGCCCTCATCATCACCCCCGGGGACCCGCACTTGGTTATTTCATCTGGGTGTGCCACACGTCTCTTTGAAGCCCTGGAAGCGGGGGCCGTGCCTGTTGTACTAGGGGAGCAGGTACAGCTCCCATACCATGACATGCTGGAGTGGAACGAGGCCGCCCTGGTGGTGCCCAAGCCGCGTGTTACGGAGGTTCACTTCCTATTACGGAGTCTTTCAGACAGTGATCTGTTGGCTATGAGGCGGCAAGGCCGCTTTCTCTGGGAGACCTACTTCTCCACGGCTGACAGTATTTTTAACACCGTGCTGGCCATGATTAGGACTCGCATCCAGATCCCAGCTGCTCCCATCCGGGAAGAGGTAGCAGCTGAGATCCCCCATCGTTCAGGAAAAGCAGCAGGAACTGACCCCAACATGGCTGACAATGGGGACCTGGACCTGGGGCCGGTAGAGACAGAACCGCCCTATGCCTCACCTAAATACCTCCGCAACTTTACTCTGACCGTCACAGACTGTTACCGTAGCTGGAACTCTGCTCCTGGGCCTTTCCACCTTTTCCCACACACACCCTTTGACCCTGTGCTGCCCTCTGAGGCCAAATTCCTGGGCTCAGGGACTGGATTTCGGCCCATTGGTGGTGGGGCTGGTGGCTCTGGCAAGGAGTTCCAGGCAGCACTTGGGGGCAATGTCCAGCGGGAGCAGTTCACAGTCGTGATGCTGACCTACGAGCGGGAGGAAGTGCTCATGAACTCGCTGGAGAGACTCAACGGCCTCCCCTACCTGAACAAGGTAGTGGTGGTGTGGAACTCTCCCAAGCTGCCCTCGGAGGACCTTTTGTGGCCAGACATTGGTGTCCCCATCATGGTAATAGAAATGGGCAGTACGTTTTACTGCGTGAAATTGTACCGCACTCTTAATGCCTCTTCTAACTTTTATCACTTTTTTTTTTTATCACTTTTGCTCCCTCGCTGGTAGCAGAGGTGAATGTAACATATATATACCTCTGTGTGTGTGTGTGTGTGTGTGTGTGTGTGTGTGTGTGTACAGGAAATGCTGGGGATTGATCCCAGGGCCTTTAACATCTTTTACATGCTGGTATAGCACATTTATCTATTTATTTATAAAGCCCTCCAGGCTCCTTCCCTGTGAAGTTTCTGCTTGCTGCCTTCCAGGCTTTGCCGGTTCCTTTGCTGCCCTGCATATCCTCCACAATAGGAACTGAAGCCGGAGCTGCGAAGGTTCACAAAGCTCCGGTTATCCTTCGGGCACCTTCCATACTGATGCGTTAGAGAACTCTGTCTTGGGGCACTTAGTAGGCACCGTGTGTAGTCTCTCCATCTCCCTTCTCTAGCTCTCGCCAAGACTGCTGCTTAGTAACAGGAACTGTGCTTAAGCACGTTTGAGTCCAGAATCTTCCATTTCAGTCGCTCCAAAGGACTGGGAAAATGATGCAGGTCTGCCCCCGGGGTACAGTGGAAGCCTCTGGAAGGCTGGCATTGGGGCTTTTGATATTTGAGAGTTGAAGATTTTGAGCCTTCTTTTCCTGAGTATTTTGCAGGCTGTACTAATGTTCTCCTGTGTCTGAGTCAGGGTCCAGGGGACACATTAGCTGGGTGTGTAGGGAGAGTGTGGTTTCTGCGTGTCTGCCTACAATACTACACTTAACCAGCTGGGAGAGGTACTCCATTGCTCTTGTCTTAAGACCACCAGGCACTCAGCTGCATTGTGAGTACTTTCTAGAAAAAGGAACAAATAAAGAAGGTCTGGTGGGCTGTGTATTGCTAGATGCTTGCTTGAGAAAATTCAGAGTTTTTGGGATGATTCATCTAGAAAAGAGTTCTGGGTCTAGTCCACTTTTTAAAAGTTGATGTTGTTAGTAAAGTCATTCTTTTAAGAGGTTTCCTTTCATTCTTTTTTTTCCCCTTCCAACATGGTCTCACTATATAGTTTGCTCTGGCTGTCCTGGAACTCACTATGTCGACCAGGCTGGCCTTGAACTCACAGAGATCCATTGCCTCAGCCTCCTGAGTGCTGGGACTGAAGGTGTGCACCAGCATGCCCAGCTACCTTTGCAGTGTTTTCTGAGCAGCAGTAGCATTATGTGTATGTTTAGTGTATGTTCTGTAAATGGGAGAGTTCTCTGAGAGACTTCCCCAGTTAGTTTGTATCCTTTCGGGTCTTCAGTTCCAGGTCGTGGTGCTTGGAATGAGAATGATCCCCGTAGGTGGTAGGTTACCTGTTCGCATGCTCAGTCCCCAGTTGATAAACTGTTTGGGAAGGATTAGGAGCGAAGCCTTGTTGGAGAAGGTGCATCACGGGTTGGACTTGGAGGTTTCAAAGCCCACACCAGACCCCGTGTCTTGCTCTCTGGCTGCTGATCAGGATGTAGCTCCCAACTACCGCTCCGGCACCACGCCTGCCTGCCTGCCCGCCACCCTGCTCTCCACCATGGCGATAATGGACTTAACCCTATGGAACTTTAAGCAAGTTCCAAGTTCAATTCTTTCTCTTTAAACAGTTGCTTTGGTCATAGTGTCTTTTTGCAGAAGTAGAGCAGTGACTGGGACCCGTGTTGTTGAGTTGTTTTCAAGTGTGCTGTTTTATGAGAGACAGATTTCTTCATGCAGTGCATGGCAGAGCAGGCTTGGCTTCCTACTTCCAGTAAGTGATGACTGAAATCCACCAGAGAACTTGCCAGAGCTAATCCTTTCTTTAATCTGGTGGGAAATGAGTAGTCCCCAGTGATTTCTGGTCAGCCCATTGCAGTAATATGATACTTAGCTAGAAGTGCCAGAAATTCTCCAAATGGACCGTTTTAACATATTTTTCTGTAGTAGCATGCAGTCTTTTCTAGAGTTTCTTTCTTTTTTTTTTTTTTTTAAACTACATTTGTGTGCATTGGCGTTTTGCTTGCACTTATGTGGGAGGGTGTCAGATCTTGGCGTTACAGACAGTTGTGAACTGCCATGTGGGTGCTGGGAATTGAACTCGGGTCCTCTGGAAGAGCAGCCAGTGCACTGAGCCATCATTCCAGCCCTCAGGAAAGAGTTTCAAGTTAGAGAATTTCAGTCTAGTTGACCACACCTTTTGACTGTGCTTCCTGCTTAAGGGAAGCAGGTATTTAGAGCAGCAGTTGAAATTGCTGACCCTCTTGGTGGAGGCAGGTGTCAGGGCCAGCAAGGGCTCTGTCTATAAAGCTTCCCAAAATAGGTTTTCCACCTTGATGTCCAAAGTAGAAGTAAGTGTCAGGATTTCCAGCCATGTTAATGCATAGCTTTTCTTTTGTACCAAGCTCAAATTTCCTGGAAAGGCATACAATTGCTTATGAGGAAATAATATAAATATATAATGTATAACATTAAAGCTGTAAAATAACTATGTGTAAAGCATGTAGCAAGCTGGGCGAGGTTGTGTTAGTCTCAAGATGCAGTGACTTTGAGCAGCATTGATGGTTGGAAAGCAGAGGCTTGCTGTGAGGGCTGGAGCTTGCCATTTGTAACCAGGCTGGTCCTGAGTTTGTGCTCCTACCTCACTCTGGGACAGATGTGCATACCAGCCCAGCTCACGAACTGTCTCAGCATCTTCTTGGTGCCGAGTGGTCTTTGTGTGCCTCGTCTCCCTGGAGGCTCACCCCCTAGTTTGTGCCGTTTCACTAGTGCTATCACAGGGCTCGTCAGCATTGCTTTAAAAAGTTCAAACAGACTTGTCTCAGAAGTTAAAGCATGGGCTGTTTTGTGCTGCATGAGCCTCGTAGTTAAAGTTATGAATGAAAAGCAGCTGTTACTCTTAGCTCCTGCCCCTTGTTTTTTTTTCCTTTTGGCTCCTCCCATTTGTTCAGTGAGTGAGAGAATAAGCCAGTGCCCCCTTGGCCTCAAGGTCTTTGATGTTGGTGCTCATAAGTTAGAGACATGGTGGGTGCAGCTTCCCAGGCCTCATGCTCTTCATTCCTGAGCTCTGTGGTTTGCTCTGAGTTAGAGGAGGCAGCTGCTCTTCCCATCCTTCCTCTGTGCGATGACCTGAGATGAGGTTGGCTACAGAAATGCGCTGTGTGTGCGACACTTAGAGGCTGAGGCCGTCAGGCTGGACTGAGCCAGTGTAATCTTAGTGATGTAAAGGACAACCGTCAGGAGCAGTGGAGGTTCTAGGTGAGTACTGTAGGTTAGTGCTGCCGTCTTGGCGCACTGCACGGTGTTGAGAAGGAACGTGTGACAGAGTCAAGACTTCTGTGAAGGATGGCAACAGATGGCCGGCTGCCCCGAGTGTGCTCTGTGAAACAGGCAAATGGCACGGAGAGTTGTCCAACTTGATCCATGTAAGTCAGTAGATTTCTTTTTGTTCTTCTTTGGAAAGCAAGATTAGAAGTCAGATGTGGTGGTGCCTACAAGTAATCCCCGCAGTCCAGCGGTGGAGGCAGGAGGACTGTAAGTTAAGGGCCAGCCTGTCTGAACAAACATAGCGAGAAAAATAAAACAGAACAAATACTAAGAGGCCTCCTAATTTGTCTCATTATCATTCTTTAGGATTATTTATATTGTTGAGTATTCGATCTGTAAATTTGACAAGATCATTGCCATATTCTAGAAACTGCAGGGCTGGCTTATCTCTGTTCCCCTTTTGTTCTTCCACATGTTCATATGACATATGTCGGACATTTCTGTGCTGGCACTACATGCTGTTCCTTCTGCTCAGTGTCGGCCCTGTAATTAAAGCAGTACTTCAGAGTTACCAAACTGCAAACACTAAGTCTGCAATATACCTTCCTGGCACAACATGAAGAAACTGTCAGTTTTGGGGGGTCAGGGTGGAGGATTCCTGTTGTAATTTGAAACCAAACAACAAAAATGGGAATGTTGCTAAGTTCTTCTAGTTGGCTTGTTTCTCTTACATTGGCTATGCTTTCCTCAAACTCCGAGAGGCCAGTACTGGTCTTGTGCACATGGGTTTAGGAATGGCTGAGTCTATCTGTCAGGATTCTGTTGCCCAAACTGACAATGGTTAGTTGCTGAGCATTAGTCTAGTGATTAAGTACTATAGCTTTGAAGGCAGCACCTGTTTTTGTTTTGAGGCAGGGTATCACATAGCCCAGGCTGGCCTGGGACTTGCTATGTAGCTTTGAACTTACATTCCTGTCGTTCCCACCTCCAGTGTGCTGGGGTTAAAGGCAAAACCTCCCCCTTCAGCTTCTGAATCAGAAATTTCCCTTCTCTTCACTTCTTGGCAGACATCTCAGGGACGGACTTTAGTGAACTTGTGCACAAACCTGCCTGTGAATCCGGGCCAGATCTTGTTTGCTGTTAGATTCTCAGCTTTGTGGTCTGCCCTGCTCAGGTCCTTTAAAAAAGAATAAGAAGGGAGTTAGGTGTGGTAGCACACACCTTTGATCCCAGCATTTGGGAGGTGAGGCGGGTGGAGCTCTGTGGGTTTGAGGCCAGCCTAGTCTACATAGTGAGTTCCAGGATAGCCAGGACTACAGTAGAGAAACTCTATCTTAGATAGGGTAGGGACGGGAGAAGAAAGAAACCCCTGTGAACTGTAGTTTGCAAATGACTCCTGTCTGTGCTCTGGGCCCCAGGTTGTCCTCATCACTTCAGTTTTCCTTGTTTCTCGTTTATGGACTTGGAGTGCGGCTGTTTGCCTGGTGATTGACTCCAGGTTCTGCCGACAACCGAGCCATCACCAGGCTCACGCTGTCAGAGGTTGAGTGGAATCGCTCCTCTACTTACATAGGCTCCACAGCCATGCTGCTTTCTTTGCGCCCGTGCAGAGCCATCTCCTGGGGCTCTTTGGGAAATGCAGCCTTGGCTGGTGACTTGGAGGCCCTAGTTCCAATAGTCCTGGCAGTGTCCTTGCTTTGAGTCACACCAAGTGCTCGGACGTTGTAGATAATCCTGCTGGAAATCAATTCACAGAACTGATAGTCTTCAGGAGAAGCTTGAGGGATGGAACTTCTCTGTGTGTCTCTTCTGGGGCTGATGAGGGGCTGTGCTCTGCAGGACTGGCTGAAGTTCAGCGCTGTGAGTGGGTGCAGATGTGTTAGGAAAGCCAAGGAATGATGAGGCAGTTTGGGTGAGTGGTCACCTGTTCCATCCTCTCAGGCAGTCACATGGTCTTCCGTGATATAACATCTCTGAAATTGGGAACATCTTAACGTGGATGGGATTGCTAAACTTGCCTTTGGCGCCTGTCACTTCTGGCCATCTTCCTGCTCCCTGGGGAACAAAGGCTGCTGAGATATAAGGTCTTGGTTGCTTCCCTCCTGGCTGTGTGTGTGGATCCAATCCAGGACCTCACAGTCTAGGCGAGTCTTTTACCCTGAGCAGTACCCATGTGTGTTATGTTCTCTCTCCCTCTCTGTGTAGTTTGGTCTCTTTTGCCTTTCTTTAACCCAGTTTGACAATCTCTGCCTGTTAAATGGCCATTCTGGCTCCTGACCCAGAACTTGGCCTCTTTGTTCTGTTACCACTGAGTCTGAGCTTAGGTGATCCCTGACTACAAACCAGGGCTGCTTTTTTGTTTTTGTTTTTAACTGGCTATATATGTTCAGGGCAGGGCTGGGCTCTGACATCTGGAGCAGGGTAGTTGTGATCCCTCTTTGTTGATGGGGCTGGAGCATCTGTGGTGCTGCGGCCTGTCTAAAGCAGCACTCCAACTAATCTGAAACTTCACCTACATTTGGAATTGATGTCATTTTCTGTGTCGGAACAGGAGTTAGTGATAAATTTTCCATGGTGGCTTTGGTTTGAAGACATTTGCAAAGTTAGCATCAGTTGAGCAGGCAAGGGACTGGTCCAGCCCAAAGACCATCTCCAAAATCGCGCAGATGTGCACGCAGCGCTGTCTCCAGAACTCACAGCAGAAATCTCTTAGCCCCTCCCCTCAGGTAATGGTCCACCATTGGTGGAGCTGGGCACGAGTCAGAGATGTCACAGTTGGCGCTGTGGTAGCTCCCTTGTTTATAGCACTGCGGTAGCTACTTTTCTGTTGCTGTCATAAAGCGGCATGGCCACAGCAGCTTACAGAATAAAGGGTTTATTTGGGAGTACGGTTCCAGAGGGACGAGAGTCTGTCTTGTGTCAAGGAAGTGAGACAGGAGCAGACATGGCAGCTGGGAAGAGGCTAAGCAAACACATACTGGTCCACAGCAGGGAGCAGAGAATAAACTCAGAATGACCCAAGTCTAAGCTTTTTGTATGTGCAGTTTCTCAAGACAGGGTTTTTTTCTGTGTAACAGCCTTGGCTGTCCTAGAACCTGCTTTGTAGACCAGGCTGGCCTTGAACTCCCAGAGAGCCACCTGCCTCTGCCTCCTGAGTGTTGGGATTAAAGGCGTGCATCTCCATGCCCATTAAGTCTAAACTCTTAAAGCACGTGCCAGTGACACACTTCCTCTAGCCAAGCACACCTCCTAAACTTTTCAAACAGCCACCAACTGGGCCTATGGAGACATCTTATTCAATCCACAAGTTCCTTAGCTATTTGTCCAGCTAATAAGGAAGCATTATTTTACCCCGAGGATGCAGAGAGGATCTTACAGGGACCCAGATAGCCAGAATGGTCATCTCCCTTCCATCGCCATCTGTCCTGCACTGAGGATAGCCTGCTCCTGACACCAAGTATGACGTGTATCCCAGGTCTAGAAGTCTACGTACCCGTGTTCTCAGCTAAATCTCCTGGCTGAAACATCTTTCCTCTGTCCTTTTACCAAAATTTTGCTCCCTAGGAAGATGCTCCCTGGTCATCAGAACAAATCAGTCCTGTGCACATGTAGCGTGCCAGGAAAGGAAAAGCTTCTGCATGCAGAGTGAGCATTGTAGACGGTATCTGTCAGCACTGTGGGTGGGCGCCGCAAAGGCAAGCTGAGGAATACTGTTCTCCGAAGCTTTGTCCCCCAAAGGCTCTCAGATTGAGTGGTGGTGGGAGGGGCGTGGCCAGAAGTGAGATAAACTCAAAAGTATTTCTAAGTGTCATTTTAAACTTTGTGAGCAGTTGGTTGGATCTGAGCTAGAACCTGGACCCAGCTGTGCCCTGCCACTTCATGTTCTCGTGGGAAACATGCTTAATCTTCTAGACTGTATTCATTGTATAAATAATCGTCAGTGTTTCATGAGAAAGTCAGTTTTCTGTGACTGGTGGTTAGTGTGAGGCCCTCTTCTGTGTCCTGAGTGGGAGGCAGCGTCATTGAGAGGCACACGCTAGGTGTCACCCACCAGGCCAGTCGTTGGTAAGATTTGGACTAAAGTCACTTTGAGAATTCTTTGATGCAGTGCTCATTTCTTGTGTTTGCCTCCTTCATTTTCAGGTTGTCCGTACTGAGAAGAACAGTTTGAACAATCGATTCTTGCCCTGGAATGAGATTGAAACAGAGGCCATACTGTCTATCGACGATGATGCTCACCTCCGCCACGATGAAATCATGTTTGGGTTTCGGTGAGGGACAGATTTTCAAACACTTCAGTGTGAAAGTGAGAAAAACCAATTTGAACTTGTCAGCTGACAGAGAGGAGAAACTCTATGAGACTGTCAGGGCATCGTAGGACGGGCTTGGTCCCAGGTCTCAGTGGTTTGGCTAACTCTTGCTTATCCTCTTCAGGGGTGCTCTAATCTCTGTAGGCTCTTCCTCTGGGGCCAGGGAGATGGGAGTCCCTAATTAGCTGGGCCAGGGCTGCTTGCCTCTCCTGGACCTGCCGGCCTGTCCCCTTAAACCCAGCCTCCGTGGCTGAGAATAGAGGTGGGGAGATTGGGTTTGTGTTGTAGGAGGGGGAACAAAGGGCTGTTTGGTGAGGAATGGGACAGGGCCAGAGTACTGGCCCCCAAGATAGAAGTGGGGTGGAGAACAAGGTCCCAACAGGAAAAGAAGAGTGGGAGAAGGGGGTGGTAGCAGTAGCAGTGGTAGTGACACTAACATTAGTCACCAACATTTGTCCTTGCCGTGTGCTGGAAGACTTCCAGAAAACCTTGGCTTCTCTCACTAATTCCCCTTGAATTAGTTAATTTTTGCTATGACAAAATAACCTGATAGAAGCATCGCAGGGGAAGACTGATTTGACCTGGGCTTTGAAGCATCCCGTCGACAGGTGCCTGGCTCCATGCACATGGACATGACAGCTTGGCAAGGAGAGAGTGTGGAGAGGAGACTCTGTTGACAGACGGGAAGCAGAGAAATGGCTGAGTATGGAAAGGGACCAGGATAGGTGTTAGGAATTTTTCCTAATGCGAGCTCTCTGCCGACGCAAATTCCCAATCAAGCCAAATCAAAACAAGTCAAATTAAGAAATATCCAGGTTTAATGGGAGTCCTGCGCTCTCGAGTGGCTCCGAGGGGGAACTGGGAGGCTGTGAACACAACCACCAGGAGGAAGGAAAAGAGACCACGTGATTCTCTTTTGGGAGTTCACTTAAATACTCTGTGGGAGTGGTCCTGACCCCTCCCTGGGGTTCTAGGACCCCATCCTAGGATTTGAAGTCCAGACCAATACAACTCTCAGGCCTTGGGGCTGGGGGCTATGCTCCCAACTTAACAATAGGGTGTCCCTCTAGAGACATGCCCTCAGTAAGCTTGTCCTTCTAACTAGGATTTCACCATCTCCCAATAAAACCATCACATTATAAGTCCATCAAGGGATGAGTCCCCTTATAAGATCAGAGCAGTCACAGACACAGCCCAGGCTGTGTCTAATCAAATTAATAAACAGGTAAGCCAGCACAACCCTAGGGCCTGATGGTAGGAGTTGTAGTTTGTATACATGATCTACAGCAGTGAGCTGAGATCCCAGAGAGCAAAGCTGTAGGAAGTGGCAGCCAGCTGGTGGACTGCAGGCCTGTTTAACTCTTCAGTGCTGGCTGCTCTCTTGAATTCACTGTGCCGGTGCTCTGGGGCTTAGGTGGCCTAGTGAGGCATACTGCCTGTAAGAGACTGAAGTGGGCTGGGGGTTCTGAGTGGGTTGTCACTGGTGTGGGCTCAGGTCTGTGTGTGAAACCTCCACAGTGAGGTCAGTAAAACACCTCGCTGAGCACTCAGAACTTTTTCAAGAAGTTGGCATTTACTGTGTCACCTGGGGTCACTGTGGAAAATGTATTATTAATTCCTGTTCCATCACAGAGAATAATGTCAGTTACAAACGTACATGAATTATGGATTAGTTGGAGTGCTGCTTTAAATTTACTTTAGTGCTAACACCCATGGCGAACATTTTGCTTGAAATCAAGTATTTGGTGGCATTTATTGGATATAATTTATGTACACTCCCATTCCCACATCCAGGTGTAGAGCTGGGTAGATTTTTATACAGTCATCGAGTCCATCTTAGAAAACATTATCACCAAAAGAAACCGGATCCATCAGCCACCGCTCATCCTGCAGCCCCATTAAGTCCTAGGCAACCACTAAACTTCACATCTCGGTAGATTTTCCTATTGTGGGCATAAGTGGCCTCCTGTGGCTGGTGGCTGGCTTTCTTCTTTCTACCTTGTGTTTCTAGGGCCGTCTGTCTCATAGCGTGTGGCAGCGCTTCATTCCCGTTGTATGGGTGCCATATGTTCTTTCCTCATTTATTTAAAGACAGGGTCTCAGGATGGCTGGAGAGATTGCTCAATGGTTAAGACCATTGGCTGCTCTTCTAGAGGACCTGGGTTTAATGCCTAGTACCCACATGGCAGCTCACAACTGTCTTTTGCTCCAGTTTCAGGGGATCTGACACTCCCAAACAGACATACATACAGGTAAAACACTAATCAATGCACATAAAACAAATAATTTTTAAAAAGTGGGGGTTCTCTCACTGTGTAGCTCTGGTTGGCCTGAAACTTACAATGTTAATCTGGCTGGTCTTGAATTCAGCGATCTGCCTGCCTCTGCCATCTGATTGCAGGGATTAAAGGTGCATCCCCACCAGGCCTATGTTGTCTTTCTTAATTGTACTAATGGACATTTAGGTCTTTACTACTTGGCAGTGAAGCCCAGTGGTGTACTGTGCCTGTTCATGTGCGTGTCTGGACTGGAGCATTTCTCTTGTGGGGCGACTGGGCCAGAGGGCAGATGTTTCGAGGTCCTGCTAAACTGCTTTGCAAAGTTGCCACACCACTTTCCATGCCAGCGGTTAGTGAGCATGCCACTTTAAGCATACACTTACTGATTTTTATTTTATAGCTATCCTAAGTGGGTGTGAAGTGGTGTGGTTCAAGATAGATTTCTGTGTGAGCAATGTATGTACACATGTGGAGGCCAGAAGTCAGCTTTGACTTTATGGACTGAGCCATCTCCCCAGTTCCCCTTTACAGTTTTGTTTGCTTTCTCTAACGACTGTGATGTTGAGCGTCTTTTCACGTGTTTATGAATGAGTTGACCATTTGTGAATTAATGTTGATTCAGATATTTGGCCTGTTTTTGTTTGGATTATGTGTTAGGGCTCTCCAGAGTAACCTAAACTAAAGAATGGATTCCTATATGTAGAGAAAGGGGATTTATTAGAATGACTTAAAGGCTGTGGTCCAGCTAGTTCAACAATGGCTGCCATCAACAGAAGGTCCAGGAATCCACTGGTTCAATCACATTCAGAATACACTGGGATCCCAAACAAGTAGGCTCTGATGCCAGGAAAGGAATGGACTTGCTATGGCGGAGAGAGCAAACGGGCAGAGAACAAAGCTTTCTTCTTCCATGTCTCTGGAGAGGCTTCCAGCAGGAGGTATGGTCCGGATTAGAAGTGGGGTTTCCAGGTTGAAAAGATCCAGATTAAAGGTGTGTCTTCCTGCCTCGAAGATTCAGATAAGGCGTGGATCTTCCCTCTTCAAATTTAGCAAAAACCCCTCAAATGTGTGCCCCTTTATTTTTGGATTTTAGTTAATTCCAGATGTAATCGTTAATTCCAGATGTAATCAAGTTGACAGCCAAGAATGGCTACTGCAGATTGTTTAGCTCTTTATTGCTGCTTTCTCAAAGTTCTTTATTCTAGATAGAAGCGTATATATGTTCCATGCCAGAGAGTCTCTGCTCAGCAGGTTCTCTTTGCACCTCCTTGTGGCATTCTTTCAAGCACAAAGTTTTAAATTTTGATGAATTCTAATTCATCTGTGTTCACTTTGTTTCAAAACAAAGTGATTAGTAGCATTTACAAAACTGTTTTAATTGTATTTTGTCAGCTTTAGTTCATATGAATTGAGAAAAGGTGGTTTATCTTAGGCGGTACAGGACTCCACTGCCTTGTTCCTCTGCCTTCTTTCCATCCCCTGACCCTCCTGGTCTTAGGCTTCCTTTTGCTGCTAAGCCATAGGTCACAGAAATGGCATCTTTACTTCTGGCAGAAGATCAGCCCCCCCCCTCACCCCCCTTCCACGTGGTGGATTACTGAAGCAAGTCTGTTGCTAGCTGAGATTGAAAAAGGAAAGTCCTGCTGACCGGGCTGTTGTCCGTGGTAATTAGCCATTGCTCTTCCTGTTACGCTAGGAGAAAAGCCTAGAAGAGCTCCAGAAATGGTCTTTGCCACTGCAGGTGTCGATGGTGGGAAATGGCTGTATTTTTGATGTGGAAAGACACACTTCAGGCCCACTGAGGGGCTGGGAGCTGTGGGTGTGGCTATGAGGTGGTAGGAGAACTTCAGACACTCCTAGCCCCCTCCCAAGAATGATGGAGAAAAGGAGCCCCAGCTCTGAGGAGTTTGAACTCACAGAGGTGGTGACGGTGCTGACTTCTTTGTCAACTCTGGCTTTTTGGTCTTTTCTGGATGGTGAGGAAGTAGTGAATCCCTTTTTAGTCATTCTGGATGTGGGGCGTAGCCTTCAAGAACTGAAGTGGCACATTGTCTCCAGGGGTAGATCCCCACCGACATCTGTGGGCAGGAAAGGGAGACACAGAGCGGAAGGCACAGTATGCCTTGTTTAGGTTTTATTAGCTTATATCAGTTGTACGGAGCTAGGGACCTCATTGTGACATTTCTGTGCGTCCGCAGGAGGCAGTTTGAGCGCTCGCTCATCTGCTTTACCCCTCTTCTTCCTCTGTCCCCGCTTACTTCTTTTAATTTCATGTCATTTCCCCTTCGCTTCTGCACATACTAGGAAACATTTGTCTTCCTGAGTCCAGCTTATTTCATACCACACGATGAACTTAACTCCGTCCACATTCCTAAAAAATGACATGATTTCACTCTTTGTACCTGTGTCTGTGCGCCACACTGTTTTTATCGACTTAAGAATGAATGGGCACCGGGCCACTGTGAAATGCTACCGAAAACGTCTCTGCAGGATGCTGACTTGGATTCTTTTCAGTAGAGGTTGTACTTTAACTCCCTGAGGGGCTCCGTGCCAATTTTCTAAGTGGCTGGATTAATTTAGACTCCTGCCGTGTGTGTCAGGGCCCTGTGTGTCCATACCTCCTTACTAGAGTTTCTGTTTGTTTCCTTGACGACAGCTATTCTGCCTGGGTAATGTGAAAGCTCAAGGTAATTTTGATTGCATTTTCCTGATCACGAAGGGTGCTGAACAGTTTTCTATGCATTTATTAACCACTTCTTATTTCCTTCGCCCATTTATGTTGATTTTGAGGTCTTTATATTCTAGTTATTGCTTCCCTGTTGGATGTGTACCAGGCAGTGCTTCTGTTCCCCTCGGTCTCTCCACTCGGGGCTCCCTTGTGCAGAGCTTTTGTAGTGGACGCAGAATCACTTGTAACAATCAGAAGTGGAAACAGAGGAGAGAGCCATTGTGTGGTCTGCTCACAGGAGGCAACTATAGGTACAGTTCATACGGACATATGGTGCGAGCTAGGCTAAGGAAGACAAGTAACATCTGAGACTTCAGTGCTGGAGATGTCGTGACGGTGACCTAACTTGTATGTCTGGATAGTGTACCCTTAAAAAAGATTAAGATGGTATTTTGCCGCAATAAAAAAAAATCCATTGTTTATAAAAGGAAATCTATAAGGCCCTGTTTTGTGGTGGAAGTTGTGAGCTATCGTCTGTTAGATCGGTGACTCTCAAACTCTGTTTCAGGGGTTGAAATACCCTGAAGCAGCTCAGGAGGTCTCAGGGAGCTGCAGTCTCTGAAGCCTTTAGCGGCTGCCAGCTCCTGGAACTTGTGCTTTCAGCCAGCGAGACTGTGAACTGATTCTGTTTGTTCTGACTTAGCTACAGATTTGGGAATGATATAAAAGTTTCTTCTGGGCAGCAAGATGGCTCATCAGGTAGAGGCACTTGCCCACTAAGCCTAGGGACCTGTGCTTGATCCTGGACCCCACTTAAAGGTAGAGAGAACTCATGCCACCATGTTGTCCTCTGATCTCTACATGTACACATGAACACATGCATGCAAACATGCACGCATGCACGTTTCTTCAGATTTCTCAAAGAGGGACCCAGTTCTCTCAGTTTTCTTGCATTTAACAGATGCCTCCATCTGATGGTCAGTGGACAGCTTTACACAGCGGGTTTCTCTCTAGGCCCTGCTCAGCTGAGGAAATGGGTTCTCCTCACAGTGATCGCCTGTGGTATCTGAGTGCTTCTCACATGTGCTCTCTGGAGCAGGAAGAACAGAGAAGCTTAGGGTAGAGAAATTACATACATGTTCCGTGGAACATGTTCATTACATGTGATTGTACATTACAAAACTTTAAAGAAATTATAGAAACAGGAATTGGTTGTCTCCCACTTCTTAGCAGATTGTCACCTTCTGAGGCGTCTTACAATGTGACCTTCCCACGAGACACTGGAGGGACACTTGTGTGCAGATTATTGATGACACTGTGTTTTTTTTTTTTTTAACCTGATTTGCTTGTCTGGTTTTGTTTTGTTTTTTTTTGTTTTTTTTTTTTTGTTTTTTTTTGAGAAATGAAAAGGAAATAAAAGGAAAAATGCAAAAGTCTAAGGGTCAAAGCAAGCAGATAAAAGCACTCATTTTAAGTGTGTGTGTTTTCAAGGGTGTGGAGAGAGGCACGTGATCGTATTGTGGGTTTCCCTGGCCGGTACCATGCATGGGACATCCCTCACCAGTCCTGGCTCTACAACTCCAACTACTCCTGTGAGCTGTCCATGGTGCTGACAGGTGCTGCCTTCTTTCACAAGGTAAGAGAATGCTGGTTCCGTGCTCTGCCCTTAGTAAGGGTGAGCTTGTGTGGGAATGAACGCTGCCTTTAACCTTTACACACACACACACACACACACACACACACACACACACACACACCTATATACTGTAGGCGGAGCCCGCTTGTTCATTTCCTGACTGCTCAGACCCGAATAATCATACAGAAACTATGTTAATTCTATATTAATTACAATGCTGTTTGGCTGAGAGCTTGGGTGTATTCCTAGCTACCTCTTATATCTTAAATTAACCCATTTCTATTAATCTGTGTATCGCCATGAGGCAGTGGCTTACCCGGTAAGGTTCTGTTCTGGCATCTTTCTCCTTCGGCAGCTACATAGCGTCTTCCTGCCTACTCTCTCCCTATATCTCTTCCAGCCTGGCTTTATTAACCAATGGTAATAAAGCATATTCATAGCATACAGAGGGGAATCCCACATCAATATACCCTTCTGGGCCAGAGGCAAGCTGTTCCTGCATTTGAAGAAACTGGGTGCTATGCTCAGAGAATCTGAGTGTGGTGGCCCACACCTGGAATCCCAGTAGCCTGTAGCTAAGTAGGAGGATCATAGGTTTGAGGCTAGGCTAGGTTGTACAGTGAGAACCCATCTCAAGACAAGGAAACAACCAAAACCATGCATATAGTAACTAAAAGTCAGGACCAGGACTGCCTGTAGACCATGAGGACTGCCTGCAGACCACTGGCTCTCACTATGGACAGATAATCTTCTGCCTCAGACTGATTGCCACTGTACAAGGTCCACTGTGGTCCTCTGTTCAAGGGCTCTGCCACTCCTGCCCAGAGATGTTGTTTTCCCATTAGAGTTTGTACTCACTGGATGCCCACAATGCAGGTGCCTTCGACCATCATGCCTTTCTGCACTATTATCTTTATGCTGTTTTTGCTCCTTTTTCTTTATTTCTTCTGATATGCAATGCAAGTGCTAGCCTGTTGTGGCTCCTGAGTTCTTAATGGCTGTGTGGTCAGAGCTGCGGTATCCTGGGTTATAAGGAACATAGGGTATGAAAACATGCATGAGAGAAATGAAGAAATACCGTAGGTTTTTATGTTTGCTTGTTGAAAGGCCGTCGTTTCAGATAAGTGGGGTAAGTGAGGCATTCTACTTTCATTCTTCCTTTGTTTGTTTTTTGAGACAGGGTCTCTTACATACCCTTGACTGCCCTGGAACTCACTATGTAGATCAGGGTGGCCTCAACCCGAACTCAGATCTGCCAGCTGCTGCCTTCCCAAGTGCTGGAACTAAAGGTGTGCACCTTTAGTTTTTTTAAATATTAATTTTTTCCAGATGTATGTGTATGTAGGATATACTTGCATGTGTGTGGGCACATGCAAGACTGTGTATGGTATGTACAGACTCAAGGCTGATGTCAGGGATCATCCTTGGTCATCTTCTACATTATTCAATAAGGTAGGGTCTTAGTGAACCCCAGAGCTTGTGGGTATGGTTGGTTTTGGCAGCCAGCTTGCTCTGGAGGTCCTCTGTCTCCATCTTCCCAGGTTGCATTTACAAATAGGCTACCACCCCACTTGGCAATTATGTAGGTTCTGGGGATCCAAACTCTAGTTCTTTGTGCCATTACCTCGGCCCCGTATCACATTTCTTTTGAGTGATGTTGGCATATACTTTCCTTTTCGAAGTCTTCAGCTGGCTCTGAAGGTGGTGGGCACTGCTCCAGTGTTCAGGGGGCTTGGGCTCCATTTCAGCACCACCCCTACAGAATGCCTTTGCCAGCTCCTCAACCACTGAACTGGCCATCATTAGGGTGCTGCCTTCCATTTGGTGCTTTCTTGTAGACTGTAAAGATGCAGGCTGATGAGATGTTCTTAGTGGAGATCCATGTTGCAGGATGCTCATTCTTGTTCTCAGTCCATAACGCCAGTCCATGCATCCCTGCTGTGACCACCTCCTGGGCACCTTCCCACACCTGTCCAGTAGCCCCTAGAGCCATGGGTATTTTTGCTGCAAGTGAAAGACCTCCTAACAGTGTTCCGATCTTTTCTTCCCTGACAGTATTATGCCTACCTGTATTCTTACGTGATGCCCCAGGCCATCCGAGACATGGTGGACGAGTACATCAACTGTGAAGATATTGCTATGAACTTCCTTGTCTCCCACATCACACGGAAGCCCCCCATCAAGGTAGGCCCTGGTATCTGTGGGAAGGTGTGTGCATGTATACTCTATTCTTTTGTTTGTCTCAATGCAGCTTGTGACAGTGCCACCCCTCAGACTTTCCTGTCACGTGCACAAGGACACCCCTTACATAACTGATGTCAGGACTGTAAGATGGGATCTTGCACTAAGGCCACTGGATGGAGCTGAGGGATTGGCGGGGCAGGAGGGGTGGGGACAGCTTTACTCCTGTCCTTCCTTCACTTCTGAAGCAGGCTGCGGTTTCTAAGGGTAGATGCTTTGTTACTGGAAGGAATTGCAGCCATCTTCACGACACCTTATGGTAGCTGCAGCATATCAAAATAGCACTGCTGGTCACTGCTGGGAAGTGGTGGTCATAGTTTAGTTCTCAGCATGCATGTCGGGTGCCTCACTACCTCCTGTAACTCCAGTTCCAGGGGATCTGATGCCCTCTGCTGGACTCTGCAAGCACTGCACGCATATGCACATTCCTATACACAGACAGATACATACATGTGTACACATAATTAAAGTAAAAATGTAAAGAAGTCACTGCTTCAGTGAAAACAGTGGTTGTATGATATGAGCGTGTGGTGTGGGTTCAGGGAGAGTTGGTGGGAGAGCAGCGGGTAAGTGGAGTGAGGGGCCAGGCTGTGTCTGCGTGTGTCCCCTCAGCACTGCAGCTTACTCTTACATGTTTCTTTGTAAGAAGATTTCATTTAAAATAGATGGACAAGAGTTGTGAGCCGTACACTGGACGGCTGGCTTCCTTCTGCCCTGACTTGGTCCTGTCTCTGCTCCAGGACCAGGGTTGTCTGTTCTGAACTTCCGTGAATGACCTTACACCTTTCTCCATGTCTCTTCATCGTCTTGCTTACATAACTTTGTCATCTTGTTTTCCATGCTGAGTTTAATTTCAGTGCCTTTCACTGATTTTTCTCTTCATGCTTGTAGGTTGAATGGGTGGTTTCTGAGTATCTCTAGAAAGTTCCTGTGTACATACACATTCATCACAGCCACCCATCGTCCTGCTGCCTCTGGCTCTGGTTTCTGCAGGTCCTTCCTCTGCTCGCTCCTATGTATGACTTGTTTTGATGCTGCAAAGGGCTTTGCCCTTCCTCCAATGGTTAGAGCTGAGCTTGAGAAAAAAACCTTTGTTCACCATCTTTCTCGGTCTCTGCCACCCAGGTCTCATCCCACTGGGTCCCAGGCTCAGGTCTCTAGGAGAACTTTGTGAAAGGTTGCTGTCCTAGTTAGGGTTTCTGTTGCTGTAAAGAGACACTTTTTTGTTTTGCTTCATTTTGTTTTTGTTTTTTTGAGACAGGGTTTTTCTGTGTAGCCCTGACTGCCCCCTAGAACTAGCTCCATAGACCAGACTGGCCTTGAACTTGGAGATCCTACTGCCTCTGCCTTCCGAATGCTGGGATTAAAGGCATGAGCCACCACCACCTAGCCGACAGCAATGCTTATAAAGGAAAACATTTAATTAAGACTGGCTTACAGTTCCAGAGGTTTAATTCATTATCATTATGGTAGGAAGCATGGCAGCATGGTGCTCCAGGCATGGTGCTGGAGAAGAAGCTGAGAATTCTACATCTTCAGCCATGGGCAACAGGAAGTGAACTGTCTACCATACTGGGCACAGCAGCTTGAGCATATATGACTTCAAAGTCTGCCTGCACAGTGATATACTTCCTTCAACAAGGCCACACCTTCTAATAGTGCCATCCCTATAGGTCAAGCACTCAAATGCACGAGTCTATGGGGCCATACCTTTGCAAACCACTAGTTGCCTATGCTAATAGTTAGCTATATGCTTTGTGACACCATCATGTTTTTTTACATTTTTCTAGTTGTTGGAAATCTTAATAACTAACCTTTTTTCATGCTTTAAAGTGTAATTTTCTTAAATGTCTTTTTAATGGCTATGTAATATTTTAGAATTATTTGTTTCCGTTGTGGCTAGTTTTCCAGTATTTCTCTATGCAAATAACTATACCAACATCTTGCTGTACCACCCAGGTAAAGATTGCATGTAGACTTATTTGGGCCAGTCACATTGGGCATGCTGGTACTTTGTGTCTGATAAGTATGGTGACACGGAAAGACACCTGTGAGTGTTTTTGATGCATATATGCTGGGCTGTGTGGATGTAGCCATTGGCTCAGCAGCTTCTCTGTGGACATAGCATTGGCTTGGCCACTATGAGGTTCTGTCGGCACCCATGCTGTGTTCTCACCCTGCTCTCTCCTGTTTCCAGGTGACATCGAGGTGGACTTTCCGATGCCCGGGGTGCCCTCAGGCCCTGTCCCATGATGACTCTCACTTTCACGAGCGGCACAAGTGTATCAACTTCTTTGTCAAGGTGTACGGCTATATGCCCCTCTTGTACACACAGTTCAGGGTAGACTCTGTGCTCTTCAAGACCCGCCTGCCCCACGACAAGACCAAGTGCTTCAAGTTCATTTAGGGCCTTGCCAGTTCTGAAGAGACGATGAGTGAGTGGAGTGAGGAGAGTCGCTCCACGGTTCCCAGGCATTGAAGGACCTTGGGGACATCTGTGGGCGGGGCTCAGGCCCTTTGCTGGGGAAGGCAGCAGGAAGAGTGGAAGGGAGTAGCTGTCTTTATCTTGAAGTCAGTCACACTGGGCCCAGCATCCTGGTCAGCCGACTCAGGGCTTCTGCACGGGGCACTGACTGATGTGAACACTGAGGACTGTGGGACTCTGGGGAGTCACTAGTTCATAAGCCCAGGACGGCTGGTTCGTGGTTTTTAAATTCAGTAACAACTGTTATTATTTAAAGAGAGTTTTCACATTTGCCATTCAAGACTTATTTATATGTGTGCATATATGTACACACATACGTGTATATACATATATATGCACACACACATATACATATATATATATATATATATATTTGGTGGGGTGGGGTGCACCTGAAATTTCTGCCAATCTCTCCAAGGGAGGGACCTGCCTGGCTGTGTATTAGGTGGAGAGGGTCCTGACCCTGTGTTACTTGGACTGTCCCAATGGCACTGGCTGCAGAAACAAGCAGGATGGACTTGGCCTAGGCAAGATCTGATCTACTCCGACCCCTCCCTGTAGCCTCAGTGATGCTCACACAGCTTCCCCTCCTGCTGGAGGCTGCACAGCGGGGCCGGCATGCTCCCTGGGCTTTGAGGGCTGGTGCCAGGCAACACTTGTCTTGGGGGTTATTGCCACTCTCCCGTTCTTTCTTGTGTTTGAGAGAGAATAAAGAAGCAGGTGGTGAGGCAGGGATGAGGCCTCTGCTGCCCAACGGCCTTTAGCTCACCCTCCTGGTGATGCCGGTGCAGGGCGCTGGTGCAGGTCACTATACTATTGGCCGGCAGGCCTTGACTGGGAGCTTGTATGGTGCAGAACTGGCCTGTGTCCTTTTAAGGATCCCAGAGTCTCACGGCAAGGCATGCGCCTTGGGATGGACACCTAAGTGAGTTCACCTTTCCCCTCACGTCTGGACTCCGTCGTGTACCTGTGGGGTTTAGACCCCGGATGTCGAGTTGGCTGTTGGAAGCCCCCTCTTTCAAGGTCTGCGACATGCTAGAAGCTGGAGGCTGGGGTCTGCTAGGAGAGTTCTAGTCCGGCCTTAGAAGCTAACAGGCACTCACCCCCACCTTACCGCTCTCCACTCCCTGTTGTGGTTCTGTTCCCAGGGCTGCCAGTGAAATAGGCTGATTTTTGGGGGTGGTGGCAGCAGGAAACTGAAAGTGTAGCATTGTGTCACTCAGGGCTGTCCTAAGCCAGTCCCGTCTTCCTAAGCCCTGACTTCCACTCCTGCCGCTGTCCTGACTTCTCTGTAGATCCCTACTGCAAGCTGGAGACTGCCGTGGCCTCCACCTCCAGGAGTCCTTGCGGCCAGAGGACCAGGATGCTGCAGAGCCTCTACTGGTGTCTTCTCCAACCTGACACCAAGGGCTGCCTGGGACATTTAGTTTTTAGCACCTCAGCAAAGGTGTCCATTCTCCTTCCCCCGACTCTCTGTCCCCTTACTGTTCCTTGTGGCAGTAGCCCTCTTCCCTCAGGGGAGCCAAAGAGTGTGGTGTTTTTTTGCTAAATGTGTGGCTGCTATAATTTTTTTTTTTTTTTTTTTTTTACTTCCCAGTATTGGGTATGGAAGCCAGAGCTGTGATGGGCATCCCGACAATCGCTCTGCGGTGAGCCCCGTCCCCATCCACCTTGTTTCTTTCAATGTGAGAACTTGTAGATTGCTGTGGTATCCGATGAGGAAGTCCTGTACGGTAGAACCCCTCTGGAGGGCACCGAAAGCTGTTGGTCACTCATGGATAGCATCGAAATGTGTTTCAGGGATAGTGATCAGAGCATCCTATGGGATAGCATCTCTGGGCCCACTGGGAACACTAACTGAAGGTCCCCAGCAGCAAGTATGGACAGTGGCTGTGTCTGAGGGACCCTCTCAGAGGCAAGAGGCAGAGACAAAGCAGTTGGACACTGCTTGTCATTTGGGTTGGGGAGCCAAGGGACATGCTTGGAAATGATTCTTCCCGCCACAAGCTGCTTTGCCGCAGCTCACCATGGTCACCTACTCCAGATTCCTAACACGGGTCACACCTGGCTACCCAGTCTCAGCTTCCAGGGCCAGGACAGCCTTGTTTTTCAGTTGCTCTTTATCTTGAGGGCAAGGGCCACCCACAGAGTGACAGTCCCCCCAGGGTGCCTCAGGCCAGTGGACCACCAACAATGCTCCTGTCTGGGGTGGCCTTGTTAGCAAAGGTGAAGCTGGAGGGTGGGGCTGCCTGGGGCAGCTCTGATAACATAATTTGTCCATCTGTCTGCCCCTTTCAAATCATGAGCACAAAGGTCTTACGTTGGATTTTTGTAAAAAAAAACAAAACAAACAAACAAACAAAAAAACAAAAAAACCAAAATAAATGGAGACTTTAACTCAAGCTGTTTGGAGGTGTTTGGTTATTCTCAGCAGTGACAGAAGAGTGACCTGAGCCAGGGTGCCTGCCTGAACGCAGTGGCCTCTGCATGGCCAGCTGGGCGCCCTCCGACATCAGCCAGGGCTCCAATAATGGGAGCCGACGAGTGTGAGCCCAGGTGGTCAGCTGGTGTTTTATTTTGCACACCAGCCAAGCTTCTTACTGTGGAGATTTTAAAAAAGATATATTTTTATAGTGCGTGTGTGTGTGTGTGTGTGTGTGTGTGTGTGTGTGTGAGATCACATGTGAGCAGCTGCCTGCTGAGGCCTTAGAGGGCATCAGATCTGCGCAACGGGTCTTTTTTTTAACCACTGAGCCATCTCTGACTCCTCCCGTTTGCTTTTAAAAATGTTATGGTGTCCTGTGCTGTCCTGGCAGGGGTCGTCTCTGGATTCCACTTCCACATCAAGTCACAGGCTTTTGGTGTGTGCATCTGAGAACTACCTGGGTTGAGAACAAGTGCTGTCCTGGGCTGTGGAATATGGAACCTGGGAATTCCAGGCCTGCAGAGGCAGCCCTCCTCTGGTTCGGCAGGTGGGAGCTCAGGACACTGACATCTAAGATTTGATAGGACTTAATATTGTCCCCCTGGTGAGGCCAGCAGATGTGGAAGTCGTGCCATAGTCATTATTTCTTGCCCAGAGTACTGAGGAGGGTGAAGGAGGCTGCTATGTAAAAATATCGTACTGTGTACACAGAATGCCTATTTAGGATTTCTGGTTAGTTCTGTGGAATCCAGAGTGTGCGGTGGCATTCTGTACCACTGTCACTCAGGTGTTAGAGCTGGTTACAGTGAGGTGGGCACTCTCTGCCGTGGAGTATGTGTGTTCAGATACTGGGTTAACACAGAACTGGTGGGGCCAAAGCCATCTCTCTGCTTGTGGTGTAATCTCATAGAATGGCAAAAACTGCCAGGCATCGGCCTTCGATAAGATGGCAAGTCCACGTTGGGCACATGTGAACAGATGCGATTGACTAAAGTCAAGCAAACTGCTGGGCTCTACGTGTGTTCCAAATGACAAGGCCCTGCTCACCTGCTGCAGCTGCCCTTGGAGTGTGTGCTGTGAAGTGGCCACTGTCCTGTCTCCTGGCAGAGCAGCCCCGCTTGCTGGTCATGGCCTCCTGCGTGCTCTACGTCACACACTGGAGGAGCATCCCAAAGAATGTAGCGCCAAGGAAGCCATTAGTGGGCTCCTGACGAAAGAGTGGGACAGGTAAGTTTGGGGGAGAGGACAGGCAGAGTGAGCAGGATTGCTCCCAAGGTGTCCTGGCATTGAGTGATCTTGGGGACATTTGTGGGGTGGGGTTCAGACCCTTTGCTAGGGGAGGCAGTAGGAAGGGAGGAAAGGGGGTAGCTGTCTTGCCAACAGCCATTTGTGCATTTCAGTGATGGGCGAGCCGGGTGTGGAGGCGCAGACCTGTAGCCCAGGCGCTCAAGAAGCAGGAAGACTGCCTGGAGTTGGAGGCGTCTTGGGCACTTGGGCCGTTTCCTGAGTTCCGCGTTAGGGATTAAACTGCTGTGAATGCAGGAGCAAGACCTTTTTGGTGGACACCGTTCTTCCTGCAGTGAGGACCTGTGAGCAGAGCTGTCGGGTGATGCACATTTGTACAGTTTTCCGAGCATCTGGGAGACCTTTTCCTGCAGCAATCGCTGCATTTTGTACTTGCAGTGATGCTGAGGTGTGTTCCGTTTCACATGTTCAGCAGCCTGTGGCACTGCCAGACTTGGGTTCAAAGTTCAGGCCACATTTCCTGGTGACTAATGATGGGAAGCATCTTCTAAGTTTACCGCGCTGCCTTAATCAATGTTCATTGACACTTCCATGTGCAGGTATAATTCATCTCATTCCTGTCAATCTCCTTTCTCCTCTCTGGATCCCTTTCACCCCCTATACCCTTTGTGGTTTGTGAATGAGCTGAGTTTGAACAGGGCTGTCTGTGACCATGGGTATGGCACTGTCCACTGGAGTCTGGTGGGCTCACCAGTGGGTACACAATTAAATACAGTGACTTCCCTTTTAGAATCTCAGAGTAGCTAGTAGTTTAACACAGAGGGGTAGGGCCCCACAAGCCTCTCCTCCACCCTGATTGTGGACATGTGGACATGGCCAGTCTTCGCAAACCAGTGCAGGCAACTAGCTGCTGAGTTCATGGCTGCGATGGCTGTGTCATGCCCAGGAAGATGGCGCTTAGATTCTTTCTGCTCCTCTTCTGCCTTGTTCCCTGAGCCTAAAAGTGCGTAATAAAATGTCTTGTTGGGAGCTGAGCCCTCTGTCCCTTATTCTCAGCACTGTGATTCGCCATGTGGCTCTGTGCCTGCCACTGCTCACAGAGGGGAGACTTCTGATTAAGAAGTCTGATTAAGGTTGACAGTAGCATTTGCCTGCAAGTGTCGATTTTTAGAGGGCAGTTTGATGCTATGTCAATCTAACTAAACGATAGTAGTAAGTTACGCCCTAGGGCCGATGACTGCCCCAGCCATGTTTTTGAGCAGTTATACAGTACCAGGCATAGGTGTTTTCTCATGGTGGGAGACTCAAACCCATCATCTAGTCATTGGCTGACCCCAGAGCATCATCTCACGGCAGAGGTGGGCACAGTTCACCTGGCAGTTAGTGTTGGTTTATACAGTTGACAGCTGGGCAGGACCTTGGCGCTTTTCTCCCTTACCCACCTGCCTAGCATTTTCCAGGAGTAGGAAGGCTAGCTGGCAGCGAGCAAGTTCTAGTGCAGGTTTGGCTCAATTTCCCTAGCTCTTGCAACCAGAGGGTGTGGTGTCTTCAGAACACGGTCTTACCATACAGTTCTGCTGGACAGCCATGAGGGATGCCAAGAGCTTGTATTACCTTAGGGGCCTCTGAGGTCTCCTTGATAACAGCTCGTAAAAGTACCAAACAATTGGCACTAGGAATTCTTTTTTTCTAGTTCTTTTATTTTTCCCTCTGGGCTTACTTTGTTCTTTTTAGTTACTGGAGGTAAAAACGTAGGTCCGTTTTAGGCCTTCCTTTCCTATGACTATTTAAGGTCTGTCTTGAAGGTGTTTTAAAACACAGTTCCTCTTTTTTTGAGAGCGGGGTCCCTCTGCATTTATGCCAGCCTGTGTGTGCATATATGTGTGCATATGCACACAGAGACCAGCGATCACACTTGGTGTTCTTATGAGCTGTCAACTTGTTTCTTCAGCCAGGCTCTCTCACTGGGCGTTGGGGCTCAATTAGTCTGGGCTGGCTAGCCAGTGTTAGCCCAGGGACCCACTTTTCTCCACCTCCCTTGTGGTGGATCACAAGCACGTTCAGTCATACCCAGATTTGCCCTTGGACTCTGGGGACAGAAGTCATGTCCTCATGTTTACATAGCAAGCACTTCCCCAGCTCCAGTTAAGCGCCCCCCTTTTTTTTAGTTCATTGGGGAATGAACTTTTTGACCCACACTTATTTTTATGAGCTGCTTAGTTTCTGGATATTTGCAGGTTTCTAAAACGTGTTATAAAATTCAAATTTAATTCCACTCTGGTAAATGTTACCTGGATGATTTTAAACATAGCAAGACTTGTCCATTGCCTGGCACAGGGTCCTCATAACCAAATACCACTGCCCTTGACGACTGTGTGTGTGATGTGCAGCTGGAGCGCAGCACCTCTGTGCCCAAGACGGGTACTTGGGTGAAGGGTGTTGAGCTCCGTTTAGCTCATTTATAAATGCACTGCTGTGGTGGTTTTAATAATTAGTGTCATCAAGTTTTCAGCTCTGTGGCTTGGCCCTCGGCACTGTTGATTCATAGCCATGATCCTATCTAGATCCCTATGAGCTGTCATCTCTGGCAGCATCACCGTCAGGTCTGCACTGCTGTTCACATGGCATAGCCTCCCCCAGCCAGTTACTTCCATCCTGGTTTTATATGTAACCGTAAGCAGTACATAGTTTTTTTTTTGTTGTTTGTTTTTTTTTGTTTTGTTTTTTTGTATTTTTTTTCAGGACAGAGTTTCTCTGTAGCTTTGGAGCTTGTCCTGGAACTCGCTCTGTAGACCAGGCTGGCCTCAAACTCACAGAGATCCACCTGTCTCTGCTTCCCAAGTGCTGAGATTAAAGACGTGTGCCACCACCACCCGGCTTTCTTTTCTTTTCTTTTTAAGACAGGGTTTCTCTGTGTAGTCTTGGGTGTCCTGGAACTCGCTTTGTAGACCAAGCTGACCTCACACATGCGGAGCTCCACCTGCCGCTGCCTCCCGAGTTCTAGGATTAAAGGTGTGTGCCACCACTGCCCGGCTAGTTGTTTTTACTGTTTAAATCAGCCCTAGCAGTCTCTCCGTGTTAGCTAGCCATGGGCTTGCTGCTCTGCACACCACCATCCGACCCCATAGTGGAAACTTGTCATTTCCTCCCTTTCAGGTGAGGGGCTTCTAGAGGTGGGCTGCCCTTTCCTTGCGTCCCAATTCCTCTGGGTTTTGAGTGTGTGTCGTTGTTATTCAATCCGCCTATCCAACATCCTATCTGACGCCTCTACTCTAGTCCCTACTACGTTTGCCTGGAATTTAAATATGAGGTTGGCCCTGATGGGAGCTATCAGGGGCCTCATGTTGTTTACTCCTGCTTTGTGGGGCATGTGATCTATTTAAATTGTAACTACAAAGTCTTTTTAGTTCTTGGCCAGTTTTAGTTTGCAGACAACTTACCAACATCTTCCATCTTTATCAGTAAGGTCTCTACCAAATCAGGAAGTCATTTAAGAGCAAGGATGAAAGACAGCGAGTTTAACAGTGATGATGTTTAAGAAACTGACCACCAGGAATGAATCCCAGCACTCAGAGGCAGAGGCAGAGGCAGGAGGCAGAGGCAGAGGCCAAGAGGCAGGAGGCGCTCTGAGTTCGAGGCCAGCCTGGTCTATGAACGAGTTCTAGGACAGCCAGGACTACACAGTGAAACCCTATCTCAAAAACCAAAAACCAAAAACCAAACCAAAACAAA